ATTGTGCATTGGCCTTCAAGATCCCCAAAACTGAGGCACAGGGTTCCGCATGTCAGACTGGTTGGGCATACTTTGACACTCGCACCGCCGTTTCCGTTCATTCCAAGCTTCTCTTCTTGCGCCCTCGGCGCGCGTTGCCTTCGTCGCGTTCTCCCAACCCCCAGCCTCCTGATTTCGTTTTCCTTCAGGTTTCGCGCGTGGGTGCAGGCGGGGAGTTTCAATTGGTTCCCCCGCCGAACACAGCAATCGAACATGTATCGCCCACGCCTGGCTCATAGAGACACCATTGCCGGGACCCTGCGCCCGACCCGCACATTCACCCTCCAATGGGAGGCCCTCGTCGCCACCGTTGGATTCGCTTCGAAATTCTGGTCGGAACGCACCCCGGGAGAGGTCCGGGGAGTAGCGGTATCGGTACTTGTTGGTTTTCCCATGTATGCAGGGGACTGTGACCCTTGGAAGCTCTGCTTGTTTTTGCCGGTGGGGGACCTCGTGATCTCGACGGATGTTCGCTTGGCCTGCAGCGGAAGCCCATGCCAAAAGACACCCTGCTTGCCTCCAGGGTGCCCTGGGTTTCTTGGCTTTCGATGGTTCTGCGATGGACAGCGTGGCGATCCCACACCAAAACAGTCAATGGCTTGTCCTGGGGTCTCAGGGTTGGGTTTTCTGTGCAGGGTTTCTTGTGGGCTGGCCGCTACTGCAGGTCCGACTGTGCCGGCAGGCTCGCGCCGCGCCGGTGCGGCACCGGGAGGAGGAGGAGGAGGAGGAGGAGGAAGAGGAGGAGGAGGAGGAGAAGGAGGGGGAGGAGGAGGAGGAGGAGGAGGAGGAGGAGGAGGAGGAGGAGGAGGAGGAGGAGGCTGAGGAGGAGGAGGAGGAGGAGGGGTGAGGAGGGGCGCGGGCGTCGGAGGCGGAATGCCACCAGCGGCCCGGGTATGTGTCGGCCTCACGGTGCCGAGGGTCTCGGCTCCGGGCCCGGAGCCCGGCCTCGCGCGCTGCGGCCGTGGGCTTCTCGCTTGACCTCCGCAGCCCACCCACCTGAGGCAGCCGCCAGCGCTCGACGACGAGGAGGAAGACGAGGACGAGGACGAGGACGACGACGACGACGACGACGACGACGACGACGGCGACGACGACGGCGACGACGACGACGGCGTCGGCGACGACGACGACGGATACGATGATGACGTCGACGACGACGAGGGCGACCACGAAAACTACGAAGACCACGGCGTCGGCGGACGACGACCACCACAACGACGACGACGACGACGACGAAGGCTCATCGCCACCAGCGGCTCCTGCGCTCGACGTCGCCCGGTCTGCGCCATCGGCTGGGACGATCGACGCGGGTACGGAAAGGATGGGGACGAAAACCGACAGAATTTCCTGCTTTTGTCGGACAGGAACTGCTGTCGGCGCCCACAGACGTTGTCCATTTGAGGCAAAGCCCGCCTGCCCAGCAGCGGCCGTCGCCAGTTTTGGACAACGTTTGCTTCGGGGCATCGTACATACGTGCCCATTTGACCCGTACCGACTTCGGGCGTGCCAGGTCGGGAGGCCTCGGCCGCTCGCAGCGCCGGCCCGCGCGGTGTCGGGAGCAAAGGCGGGTGCCACCGCGGCGTGAGCCGCTGCCGTGCCGATGATTTCTGAGGCCCTTCGCCCGTCTGCGCCTCTTGGGCTCTGCGGGGGGCCTTCGTCGCCACGGAGGGACACGCCCTGGGACTCCTCCTCTTCCCTCTCCTCACTCCTCCTCACCCTCCTCCTCCTCCTCCTCCTCCTATCCTCCTCCTCCTCCTCCCCTCCTCTCCTCCTCCTCCTCCTCCTCCCCCTCCCCCTCCTCTTCCTCCCCCTCCCTCTCCCCCTCCTCCCTCCTCCTCCTCCCTCCTCCTCCTCCCTCCTCCTCCTCCTCCCTCCTCCTCCCCTCCTCCTCCTCCTCCTCCTCCTCCTCCTCCTCCTCTCCCTCCTCCCCTCCCCCTCCTCCTCCTCCTCCCCACCTCCTCTCCTCCGTCCTCCTCCTCTCCTCCTCCCCTCCCCCTCCCCCTCTCTCCTCCTCCTCTCTCTCACCTCCTCCTCCTCCTCCTCCTCCTCCTCATCCTCATCCTCCTCCTCCACTCCTCCTCCCCCTCCTCCCCCTCCTCCTCCCCCTCCCCTCTCTCCTCCTCCTCCTCCTCTCCTCTCCTCCTCCCTCCTCCCTCCCCTCGCCCCTCCTATCTTCCTCCTCCTCCTCCCCCTCCTCCTCCTCCTCCTCCTCCTCCTCCTCCTCCTCCTCCTCCTACTCTTCCTCTTCCTCCCCCTCATCGCCCGGGGAGTAGCGGAATTCGGTGTATGTTTCGGGGGAACCGTCACGAGTACGGAAACAGTGGGCGCAGGAGTCCAACAGCAGTTCTTGCTCATTCTGAGCAGGATTCACTCTCGGCGTCGCCGCGGTCGTCGTCCGTGCGAGACGCAGACTCGCCTGCCCAACAGCGGCGACGGTCGGTTTTGGACACGATGTTTCCCAACCATCCTGTGTTGTTGGGTCTTCGTTTTGAAGAGACGGTCTCCGCGTTCCTCCCTTCCTCCTCCTCCCTCCTCCCCCTCCCCCTT